CGGAGCCCTCTGGAAAACCCAGGCTGGGGGCGTCGGTAGCCAGATGTGCACATCCGCAAGCGTTCCTGCAGCTGGGCTTCTCCCGTTTCTGCAGAGCAAATCTGCAGCATCTGTGTTTACCTCAACCGATCCCGCAGAATCCCTCGCCGAGGTTACTAGCAAACACTTACCAGCTTTTTTCCATATCTCCTCAGTGACGTAGCCCGTTCCCGACCTGCTGCTGAACTCCCGCAACGAATCTGTCGGAGTAAGGGACACAGGGAAAGGTTGGCAAAGCCTCGTCTTGCCCAACCGCTGCTCAAGGGCCCAGCGGTACCTCGCTACAGCGTGGGGCAGGGTAGAACTCACCAGCTAAAACTCAAAGCAGGAGATTCCTACAGTTAAAGCCATTCATCAAACACTCAGATGATAAATTACAACATTTAATTAGCGCCTTGCATAATTTATGACACCGTATAACCCATTTCCATCTCCTGGTGCTCTGCAGCAACAGGCAACGTTTATAAATGTGTGCCATCAAACACCTGCACTGTCCAGCGACGCTGAGCGTCAATCTATGCGACCAGCAGTTTACGTTAAACGCAGCGCTCCCCACTCCCAGGGGCCGTTCAAAGGCTTGAATTGACGGAGAAACCGTCCTGCAAGAGCCCTTATGGCGAGAGGTGCGTGCATCCCCCAGCACCCACGAGCCTGCGAAGAGCCCGTGACAGACGGGGGCGGTCACGCGAGGCCCTAAACACCGACCGCAGGCACACAGGGAAGCTTTTCGGAAGCTTCGTCCTGCCTTCCATCTGCACCCCTTTTTTTTTAAGGCTTCAGAGCAACCTTCTGAAGGGTCAAACCAAAAACCGATTCACGTCAAAGGCTTGAAAATCAGCCCAAGGTCCCACGAGGGGAGAAAGCATCAACAATGCATCAACAATTCATAAAAAAAAGAATTAAATTACATCGCCTTTAACATGGGGCTGTGAGTATATTAGTCATCGTACGCTTAAATATAGAAGGGCCGAGGGCTGGCTGCGCTCATCAGGTCGTCACGCGCGCCCAGCCACCCCGTGGGCTCGCCGCACGCTGCTCTGCAGTTACAGCTGGAGCCATGGGCGCTGGGTTTCTGAGAAACTCGGATTAATATATTCTATTTTAGTTCTTTCTGCTTGTGTACTTGTTATTGTTTTCCCAGGAAACAGTCGTTCTTGCTGTCTGGGAACTATCAAAACTTCTTCAGTTGCTGCTAAATCTGGGCTGGGCTCTGATTTGGATGGTGCTTTTTGACATGCAGGAGGATTCACTCTATTTTGTATATAAACAAGTTGAATATATATCAAATTGAGATTTTTAGTTTGACATTTTTTCTTATTGTTAGAAAACATCCATTTTTTTTTAATATCAAATGATCAGGGTTTTTGTTCCAGCATTTGATTTGCAGCATATTTGTTTGGATGGAAATTAGAATTACATCCAAATGTATAAAATCAGCATTTTTGACTTGTTTCTTGTATAGGGTCAAAACTCCTGCATACTGGAGGGGAAAAATAGTCAGCTTTAATAAAGCTAAGTTGACTTATGATACAAAAATAGAACTAATAACTCAGGTAGTAGCTCTTACACTTAGAGCAGTCTTTGGTATTTTTAGAATAAGTACACCTTGACATTTAAAATCCTTTAGGCAAGACAAATTGGAAGGGCAAGAGGGGTGGAACCAACCACCTCTCCTGCCTTTCCAGCCCCTGGTTTCTCAGCTTTGAGCGACCTTGGCTTGGTTTGGTCACCGGGACGGCTCAGGGACGAGGGAGATGCTCTTCCGGCACCAGCTTTGGGTGCTGCTGTTGCCCAAAGGTGCCTTCGCCCGTCAGCAAGCGCTGCTTCCAGGAGCTCACCTGGGAGCTTCCACATGTCTGATGACTTTTCCCTCTTAGAATAGAATCACCGAATCGTTTAGGTTGGAAAAGACCTTTAAAGGTCCAGTCCAACCATTAGCCTAACACTACCAAGTCCACCACTAAACCAATTAAGGGGAGAGTCATAATTTCATGTTTCCTGGCTTGGGGGCTGGATGATTTTTTAATGAAAGTAAAAACTAGGAATCACTAAGGTTGGAAAGGACCTCCAAGATCATCAGTCCAACCATCAACCCAACACCACCACGCCCACTAAACCATGTCCCAAAGTGCCACCTCTGCCCGTTTTTTGAACGCTTCCAGGGATGGGGACTCCACCACACTCTGGGCAGCCTGTTCCAATGCTTGACCACTCTT